GACGGCAGGTATAGTCGGCGCGTCCCACATACCGACGTGAGGCCCGGCGCCGACCACAAAAAACCCTCGCACGCCTCTCATAGTTCGACGCGCCGCCTCCACCGGCTGCCCAATCAAAACAGCGCCGTTTGTTACGGCGACGATATTGGACTTTCTATTCCTACATGTGCTCTCTATTATCTGAGGTAATTTATGGCGGCGGCCCCGGGCCAACGATTTACCGGCGGGTCCGCCGGACCGGCGACGATCTCAGGGGGCTATCGCGCGGTGGACCAATAAAGATATCATCGCTGACGCGGCCATGGGAGCGCGAGCGACCCGCCGTGCGACCGGCGCCGGCTGGAGGCGAGGCGCCGATCGGTCACGCCGAACGCCGGCGCCGGACGCCGCGCTGGCCGCCGGCAGCGGCTGGCTCATGTGCGCGGAGTCGGATGTTCCCCCGCATGGTTTTGGTACTTGGTTACCGGAGTTTTGTGGCAAATATAAATCGGAAAACGGGCGAGGGCGGTGAAATTTTTTAAGTGGATTCTTCTCTTGCAGGGCCCGTAAGCAGAATTTCAGATCATGCACACGTTAAGCGGAGCATGTCGGGCCATGCCATGGGAGGGGGGGGGGGGGGGGGACCGAGGCGGCAGTTACGACTTCGTGTAGTCCCATGCCTCGTGCAAAGAATAAGCTATCTCTACATTCCTGTTGATAACCTAACACCTTGCGTAATTGTCAAAACCCGTTGATGTTCGCGATTGGGAACCACGTGCATTGTATGCATTAAAGCGTGCCAGACAAACCGTGGGCAAATACATGCCTGCTACCAATGAAACTTCGTGGAGCCCTTCCCCAGGAAAAATACAGGGCCCATGTCCTGCTCACGTCACTACTGTTCCAATGGATATTTTCAAATGGGCCGCGCTTGGAGCCCATTCGCCCGACGTTTGGCGTGGCATGCCCACCTTTTCTGAAGAGGGTTTTCATGGCGGGGCGTCTGATGTCGCCGCCCGCCGGTCTCCCGCGGCCGGGCCTGGCCCGGCTCCGACGCTGCTGGTCCGCGTCACCCCGCCCGGACCACGGCCGCCTCCGATCACGCCCGGCACTATCACGACAGACGGTGGAGACGCCGACTCACGCGTGCGCGTGCACTTCCGTCGCCGAGACACGTATCACTGGCCGTTGAACAGTGCGGCGAGCGCGGCGAATACAGCTGCGGCGCCGGGGCCCGCTGCCCCCCCTCCCCGCGGCCCCTCCGACCCCTCCCCCGCGGCCCCTCCGACCCTTCCCGAGCGGCCCCGTCATGGCATATTGGAGGTGGATGGCGGATGGTACCCTGCCCGCCTTGCCGGGGCCGGCCGGCCGGCGGCTCACCCGCATACCGCCCCCCCCCCCCCCCCCCTGCCGGGAGGGTCCCCCGCTGCCGCCGGGCGCGGTACCGGAACACGAGTGTCTCTTGGCAGGAGTGTTCCTCACGGCGTTCCACCGCCTCAAACCGCGTCACGTACGAGGGCCACGCCGCTGAACATGCCAAATAGCGGTACTGAGCAGCGAACACAGGGTGGTGGTGGCAGTCGGTGGTGACGCCTCCGCAGACGCGGGTCACCCGAGGGACGAGCTCGGATCGTCAATGGAGCTCACGACGAGCAGCCGCCAGCTTGTCGGACAAGGTCACCACACGGTCACCGACTGACCCCGCAGACCGCGGGGTCAGTTCCCGCGGCGTTCTTCCCGTGGCGTGTCGTCCCGCCACGTGCGGGGGACGGTGTCCTCACCTGGCGTGCCGCGGACCGGGTCCGCCCGACCCCAGCGCGACGCCGCAGGAGCTGAGCACGCCGCCCGAGCGCAGACCTGAGCCCGGCCACCGGCTCGGCCGGCGTGGTGTCGGGCCGCGGGCTGGTGTCGCATGGGGCACCAGTCCGGCGGCAACATTGACCACACGCGGACACCGACTTCCGCAGAACGTTCCCGGCCTGGCCGGGCTGCAATTTGGCTCGGCTGTGCTAACAGCGTTGAGGGGCTGAAAGGCGGTCCCGGGCCAGGAATTAGCGCTGGTGCTGGCGCGACTAGGGAGGTCGCGTGGATCAGCTCCGCCGAAGAGCTTGTCTGAATGGGCGCTAACCTATTGTGGCGGAAACGAATAGGTTAGCACCCATTTAGACGCGCTCCTTCGTCACGACGGAAAAAATCGTAAATTATACGGTCCATTCATTATCTAAATGGCCGTTTCCTCTCTTGGAGTGGTCGTATGCTCGCATCTTCACGTTCCAGCGCATTCCCGTTAATTCGATTTCATTAGAGGCACGTTTAGACTGTAAAAGCGTAATCTTATCCAGGCGGCATTTATTTAACGGGAACGTGGAGCTGAAAAAGGAATTTACGGTTGCACAAGCATACGCGACACACTCTTCGGCCGTACCAAGACGTTTGAGCTTCCTCGCGGCGTCTGCCCTTCCTGCCAAGGCGAGAGGCGAACAACCGCATTTGACCTCACATACGGAGTACATCGCACAGCCCCAATGCCAGACATAAGCGACTCATTGAGCCCCCTTGCATCAATACGTGGTGACGAAGGTGTCTCGGGCGCCGGAGCGATCTGGCAGCTGGGTGACGCGGCGGCAGCGCCGAAACACCGGCCCCAATATCCAAAACATTTATGCCTATCCAAGCTTTCATTTGTGGCGATCTAGCTCCTGCTCACAGCGCACACGTGCTCACTCGCCCAGGCTCCGTAATTGGTCGCTCCGCCAGGGCCGCCTCCCACGCGAGCCCCGCGGCTCCCACACACGGCTCTCGCGCAGCAGCTCCCAAAGGCAGCGAAGTCCAAACATGTCCTTCGCGGAGGCTGGAAGTCACACCAATAAAGATCCGCCGCTCGCGCACGTCCCGGGACGGCCTTTGCTGACCTGGCGGCTGTGAGTCGTGGTCTTTGGCTTGGATGGGGACACGGCTCTGCTGAACCCCTCCCTCTGCTATGAGTCCGCCTTTCACGCCGAGGATAGTTGCCAGAACTCAGCTCAAAAGACCGCTCACCGGGAGTGACGGTGCTTTGGGGCCGGGTGTGGGACGAAAGCGGACCAAGATCATCAATCATCAAAGATAGCTGCAAGGTCATCAAAGACAGCTGCAAGGTCATCAAAAATAGCTGCAAGGTCATCAGCATCGCCAGGTAAGATACACCCCGCAGAATATCCCGCAGCTCGGTGGAACGATCACCTCGTCGTAGTGTACTCATGAGTTCGAAACTCATTGCATCCGCGGCGTATTACCGGCACCAGACACAGCACGTGGGACGGATCGCGGCCTCCCTGAGCGTCCATTTATTAGATCATGCCACGTGTTTCATCACATCGGCCACGTGTTTCATCGTACTTTGGGGAGCCGCGCATCAATATGCGTAAGTGCACCGCCGTTGTCATCAAGTATTATCGCTATAAATGGAAATTAGCACTGGGGTGCACAAAAAACAAGCGACGACAGAAGCTCCCAACGAGGGTATCACACGCAGTCAGACCGGCCGTTCGCCCGTAGCATGTGTGGGAGAACGGCCCAGCCGGTGACGTCAGCGTGCCGACCCCGCGTCTGCTCCGGCGGGGTCAGGGTGTCACCAGGCGCTCCCGGCAGCCCCCGGCCGGCGTGATCGGCAGGTCACCAGGGTCAGGCGGCGGCTGTGATCGGCAGGCGGCGGCGGACAGACGTCCCGCCGTGATGATACGGCTGGGCGCGGCGGCGCTCGCCGCAAGGTCGGAGCAGACACCCGCCTGTCGGTCCGCCTCCGCCTCAGCCACGGCAGCCGTGTACAGATGGGACCCGCCATCTGAGCGCCCGGCAGCCGTGTTCAGATGGGACCCGGCGCTCTGAGCGTCCGGCAGCCGTGCTCAGATGTGACCCGGCGCCCTGCGCGCTCGGCGGCCGTGCTCAGATGGGACCCGGCGCGCCTCTCGCCGGTGTCCGGCTGGCCGGGATCTGCGCGAGGTGACCCGCCCGCCAGCAATCAGCTCAGGACGCCGTGCCGCACATTTGGACCTGTGCCCGGTCATTAATCCGCGAGCTAATGGTGCGCGCCGGTACATTTGGCGCTAATTTCTCCGCGCGGTCCGGGCGGCGAGCATGATAAACGATGGTGGACGATAGTCCGTCACCATCAGCGGATGACGGTACGCCATGCTCGTCCGGATTGGACCGGACTCCGGTCCAATCCGATTCGGTCCGGTCCAATCTGGACTGGACTCCGGTCCAATCCGGTTCGGTCCGGTGGACAGCCTCACGCCCCGGTGAGAATGACATGTTCGCATAGTTTTCTCATTTCGCCTTTTCCGACTGACTGTACTGGACCAGGATTGCAAAGATCCCGGCTCAAGTCCCGGTGGGAAACCCAAATTTCCGCCCTGTCTAGCGAGCGACATCCGAAGCGACAAAGCGGTCGCGCAGTCCTCGCTCACCCAAGCTGAAGTAGCTGGGAAAACACTACACGAGCGGCGCACCTGCCGCCCCACCCGGTGGACGTCGCGCTGGCGGCTCCCAGGCTTTCGCCGCCCAGCGCGGCCGTCGGCGTGAAACCCACACCGCGAGGGAGTCCTGAATGTCTTGCCCGGGGGTGCATCCCATCCTCGCTGAAGGCGGCAGGCCAGCGCAGTGACCGCCGTCAGGGATCCATCCACACGTCAGGAGGACTGGGGACACTCCTCCGCGACCGGCGCAGAGAGGACGCTTGAGCTCGGAGTGCACGGAGGACAGGAACGTCGAAGTGCCGAAGCATGCGAGCACACGCGACTGAGGAAACCGAGGGGGAGAGGTGGCAATGGTTTGGTCCGCGGCCTGTTAACAGAGAGAGGTAGAAAAGAAGACATGCCACTGTTCTCTTGCGACGACAAAGCAAATACACAAGACCTTGGCGACGACGCCGCCACCCACGCAGGCGGGAAGTAACCAGCCAACAATCTGCGGCGAGGAGCGGCGATGGCGGGAGAAGGGCCGCTGGAAAGCCCGCCCGAAGACGGCGCGACAAGACTGACCTCGGCACGAGCTGCCCTGTGTGTTGATGGTCTGGTGGCACACGTTGCACGTTCGCTTCTTCCTGAACAGCTTGCTCTTGAAGGCGTGGCATTGCAGTGATATGTCACCCTGCAGGTGGGGAAAGCGCGGGTCAGGTCATGTCAGGCGGCGTCAGAAGCACCACGGCGCGAGGAGAGATCTGGGAACACAGCGACCGCAACAGCACGATACAGGTGGGTGAGAGGGATTTGTTTCAAATGCTTTCCCGTCATACAGAAGGGTAAACTGACAATTACATCATTCATACACGATTACGTTTATTGACTTTTGGTGAGGATTGTTCACATTCACCGAAGCTTATACGTTCTGCAAGCACTGGTAACATGACAAATTAGCATGGCGAGAATCTGGGGAATTTTGACCGCCGAACGTGCCGCTAATGTTTTCACTGGTGCTGTCAGCGGTTGTGTCCGCCAGTGTTTAGCGGTGCTCTGTGCCGACCAGGGCTTGACAGCATCGGTGGAATGGGTGGCGATCCATCCTCAGCTGTCGGCAGATGATCTCTGGCCAGCCGGGTTCGTTAGCGCTCCCAGCGCAGCGGCGCCGGGGGCGCCGACCCGCGCGCCCCGGCGCCGGCCGCGCGGCACCGCCCTGCCCCTGCCCCGGCCCGGGTCGGGTCGGCAGCGGCCTGCCCCTGCCCCGGCCCGGGTCGGGTCGGCAGCGGCCCCGCTCTCCGGCAGCTGCAGGCCACCACTGGCTGCTGAGCCGGCCGCCAGCGGGAGCCACTGACCGCCGCGGCAGGGTCGCCCACCGCAGGACGCCCGCGTCCCAACTGCCCTTCATCACAGGACGGCGATCTTATCTCGGCTCGCCGGTTATGACAGCTTGATGGAAAACTGATGAATTAGGGCGCCATTAACCACACGTAACAATGGACTAGCGGTGAAGGGGCCGGCAGATGGAAGTGAGCTCAGTTATCAGATGCGCGCGTCTTGCATACGCCGGCGCTCGGACGCACGCGCGTGCTCTCGTGCATTCACAATCGGCTCATTCAGATCCCGCCTTCTGCTTGTCATATCTCGTTAAAGAATACCCGCACGCAGCATGGGGGCGCGTCCGGCAGATGCTTCGCTAGTGTGTTGTTACTGCAAGACGGCATTCATTTTGATCTCGTAACGATGCCCCGGCACGTGCTACTCGCCAAGTGCGAACACGTGCCAAGGTCGGTAAATATGTGAAGCTGTGTGGTCCTGAGCAGAGCAGAGCATCTCCCGGTGTAAGCGTTGCGACATCACTGGCCACCAGCTCCGTTCAGCTGCATGCCGCGTGCATGCGGCTATCAATGTGTGCATGCGGCTATCAATGTGTGCATGCCGCTATCAATGTGTGCATGCCGCTATCAATCCGTCCATGAGGCTGCACGCATGGATAGCGGTTCCATCGAGTGCCTTCTCACATCAGACATTTCAGGGAAAAGGAGTTGTCTTAAATACATATCGGTGTTAGTGACCGAAATATTTTCTCGGCCACGGCCCACGGTCTTGAGTCACCCCTCAGCCTTCTCTTAACAGAAGCCCCCTGTCTGCTGGAAAGCACTCCTCTAACATGACTGCAAGGCCGGTTAGACTGTCATTCTACCGGCGACTGATTCGTGACCGGTTCAGGTGAACTGGCCGCCGGGTCAGGTGAACCTGGCCCGCCGGCCAGGTTTGAGTGGCTGCCGGATCAGTGACGGGGTCAGGTGGAAGCGGGCCGCCAGGGCAGGTGGACGTGACCGCCGGGTCAGGTGGAGTGAACCGCCGGGTCAGGTGGAGTGGACCGCCCGGGTCAGGTGGAGTGGCCCTGCCGGGTCAGGGGGAGTGACCGCCGGGTCAGGTGAAGGTGACCGCCCGGGTCAAGGTGGAGTGGCCCGCCGGATCAGGTGGAAGTGACCGCCGGGGTCAGGTGGAGTGGCCGCGGGTCAGGTGGAGTGACCAGCCGGGTCAGAGTGGAAGTGGCCGACAGGTCAGGTGGAGGTGGCCGCCGGGTTAGGTGAAGCGGCCGTTCGGATCAGGTGGAGTGGCCACCGGTTCAGGTGGAATGGCCTTGCCCGGGTTCAGGTGGAGTGACCGGCGCCGGGTCAGGTGGAATGGCCGGGTCAGATGGAGCGGCCTCCGGGTCAGGTGGAGGTGGCCTGACCGCAGACACACCTAATGACAGCCAGCCCGTGACGGCCCAGTCGGCCCGGCGGGACGGACCGCGGCACGAGCAGTCTGCCCGAGCTCGGCCGGCGTTCCCACGCTGGTCCGCCGTGGTGTGACGTCTGGTTAGGAGCAGCCCCAGCGATACAGACATGCCGTCTTCATCGCCCATGAAACATTCGCCTGATACTACACGCTGTCGTACCGTTTCTGTTCAAGAGAACACTTCAGGTCAAATAGCATCCCCAGACCTTGACCCGCTCTGTCCCAAGCTGGGACAGAGCAGACTCGTACCGTGACTCCTAAGAGCGGACTAAGACCGAGACTCGCACTTACGTTGCCCAGTGTACGCGCTTCTAAGGGAGAATATGAGTGTCTTTGTCAGAGCGGAGGACAATCGTCCCCTTTGTCCACGCGTTGAGAGTTTTCCCACGCCAGCGGTGTGTCTGTGATGATGATGATGACACCACTGGCATCGCCACTGGCCATGACTTCCCCGGCGCCATCTCTTCACACAAGAAATTGCACGCGCCTGCAGCGTGCTGAGCTCGTTCTTCGGGGAAATGTTTGAATTGTCTCCCCTCTCAATGTACGATTCTTCCTGTGTTTCTGGCCACGAGTCTTACCGAAATCGATATATAGATACTCAGAACGACCAGTGGATGATTTGGGATTGTTACCGTTTATAACGGATGACTTATTTGGCGTCATTTATTGGCCCCTTGAGTGAGAGCACTCCCAATGCTTCAAGAGCTCACCCCAACGGAGCTGGTTTCTCTGATGACATGGTGTCCCCTTGAGTCTGCTTGGTCATCCCCCTGTTGATTTCTGAACCCATCACTGAAGGCCATCCCAGTCTGCCTCGCCCGGTACCATTCACAGTAGCCATAAAAATGTCCTAAACCGTCAGCACAGGCCCATTTGTATGCCATGCACCAAGGCGTCCCACTGACGTATGCAGTGCTAATGCCCGAGCCGTGCCCGGCGGGGGTGCAGAAGCCCGGTCACGAACGGCGGGCTATTGGCTGCGGAGGCGGCACGGCAGCGGCCGGCGGGCCAGGTGGCTGCTGGCCCGCCCGCCCTCCTGCCACGCCAACGGGCCGTTCTCGGAGCGCAGTGATGTCACAGCGCGCTGTGTGGGCGGCGGCCGAGAGTCGGCCACGGTCACGAGCTGTCGCGGACCGCGGTCACGAGCCGTCGCGGGTAGTCACGGACGCCGCAGACGGCGTCTGCTTCTCACGTGCGGACGGGCCGAGGATGGACATGGCTTGCTGAACCGCTACAGACTGGCGTGATGCCTGCACGCACACGCACACACACACACACACACACACACACACACACACACACACACACACACACACACACACACACACACACACACACACACACACACACACACACACACGCACACGCACACACACACACGCACACACACACACGTCCAGCCAGCTCGTGGACAGGGCCTGTGTTCTGACTGGCGCAGTACCGTATCCGGGCCGACTGGTGGTGCGCCATCGCTTCGGCCACCGCTCGTCCGGCGTCACGTGAGGCATCCGTCTGGCGCCCGGCTGGAGCCTCTGACAGTGGGCGTCTGGAGCCTCCGGCAGAGCACTGGCAGTGGGCGGCGGCGGCGGCGCGACGCCAGCCGCTCTGTACGGAGCCCCCCCCTCCCCCCCCCCCCTGCAGCTGGAGGCGAGCCTCCCCAGCGGAGCAGCGTCCGCTGACAGTATAACGGCTGGACCAGCCGACGGGCTGACCGGCGGGGCCGGGTTGTGGCTTTTGGCACGGGTGGGCCGCGGCTGTGTTGACTGCCGGGGTGGCTGTGGAGGTCACTGAGCCCAGAGTGGCAGGTCACTGGCCTGCACTGCCGTGTCGCCCACATCAGACGTCGTTCACTTGATCCACTGATCCAAGATCCACGGATCCACAAGCGCGTGATTCACCTGCGAGGAGGATCTTTGTTTTTAGGAGCCTTCGGGCGGCCTAGGTTTTTAAAGGTTCGCAGATACTAACTATGATTCTGTAGATACTAACAAACTGCCCGTACCTGATGACATATACCATGAATTATGACGTGCGCATACATGTGTCTGAAAGTCACCATCTGGTCCGTTACTTAAGCGATCCCTTATCAGAAGGTTAACGAAGACAAAAGAACACTGAATCCCTTAAGATCCAGTTGGACCGGTTTATGATGCACCCCAACGAGCACTAACAACTGCCCATCATCGGCAAGCCATCTCGGAACAGGGCTGTTACGTCAAAACTCGAGGTTTTAATAACTCTTAATCGAAGCGCTTCCCACAACTTTGAAACGAGTCGCAAGGTCACGGCTTCAGTAATGTAAATCGTAAGTCGCCAGTACGTTTCGTCAGTATCTTTTACTCACCCGTGAAAATTCGCACGCCCCTATGCCCCTCTCATGTCCCTCTACGGGAGATCCCAGTCACAACTCTGGGAAGTTGCAAGGCCACCAATACTGATCAGCACGCCCACCGACTGTGAAATGTCAGCCAGTCTCCGCGGACATCGGCCGGGGTTCCTACACCGGTCCTCGGGCTTTCCCTGCGCGCATTGACCCATGATTACCTGCTGTGACGAGGCCGGCGCCTGGCCGACCTGCTCCGCGCAGCCCGCAGGCAGCTGGAGCTCGCTGACAGACTCGTAGCTCCTGGCGGGATTCATACCCCGCGTCGCAACGGGCCCATCTCCCGGCCCGGGTTTACTCACACGGCGCCACTCTCGCCGGCGCCGCCGCTGACCTGAGGTCACCGCCGCTCACCGGTCGCGCCGCTCACACTTCACACGTGGCTCGCCGCCTCCTCCGCGCTCCGCTGCAGCGGCAGACTACCGCGGCCGGCGCTTGGCCGAGCGCCGCCAGTTCCGTAGAAACAGGTTGCCGTCGCGCCACGTGACTCTGGCCAACCGGCTCCCTCTCAGCTGTCTACGCCCCAGCTCATGGCGCACCCTCGACCGCGATTCGCGCAGCACTTTGCGGCCCCGCCTCGGCGAAGACCGCAGGGCGCGCAGCAGCGGACCGCGGGCCACAGACCGGCGCGGATCGCACGGACCACACGGACCGCGCGGCCGGGCCGTGCAGGACCGACCGCTGGTCCAGTAAGGCGATGCGAGCCCGGCGGCGACAGCTGCGGCGCGGCCCCGGCGCGGTGGCGCCGCTAATCCCGCCTTGCCGCACGACACCGAGCTTCCACGAACAGGTGCGACGGCCGAGTGGCGGCGGCGGCGCGACCGGGCCGCGCATGGGGCGGGAGTCGTCACATTAGCACCCGAGCGTGTGTGGGCGCCGGGTGAGGGTCGCACGGCGCCGGCTGCGACGCCGGAGAGCCGACGGCGGAGTGCGCTGGCGACGCCCCTGTCCGCCCGGCTCCCACGCGCAACCCGCCCACCGCCAGCCTGTCCGGCTTTCCGCGCGGCGGCTCGTTCACGGCACGTCCTCGCTCCTTCGGGCGAGCTGGGAGGGCCGGCCGGCTCTTCCAGCCGCCGCCGAGCCGCGCCCCGGCGGCGCGCGGCGCCGGCCCGCACCTGCGAGCTGCCGGGCCCAGAGAAGCCGTGCCGCGGCCGCCGCCGCCGCGCGCCACCGCCATCTGATAGCCTTTAGCGGGACACGGCGGTGGGAGAAAGGACGGCCCGATATAGCGCGGCGCGCCGGCCGCGGCGCGGTGCCCTGCAGCGCGTCCGCCGCCCCGCCGGGCCGCGCGCCGGGCGTGCGTCCCTGCCGGCCTGCTCGGGAGAGCGCGGAGGTCACAGGCCGCAGTCAGAGGCCGGCCATCCCGGTGGCGCGTTCGTCGCGTCTCGTGAGGACGCTGCTGGCCGTGTGCGCAGATCAGACTCCGGAGCTGTATCAGCCTTCGAATAACTACCGGTCCCTACACCACTCCATCACCTTCAGCGGTGTGAGCCCTTCTCAAACGGAAGCAGTCAAGTGACACACGCTCGGGTCGAGAGTGGCTTCTCCTCGTGCCCTACAGCTCTCAGGCGGCCGTCGGCGCCGCCGGTGGTCTCACGCTGCCGCAGACACCCGGGGCCGACAGTGGCGGCCGTGGCCGGCCCCTCCCCGGAGCGGCCGCTTCGGACAGGTGTGGCGCGCGGCGCGCCGCCCGCGCTCGCGCTCGCGCGGGCGGTCGAGCCGCGCGCGTGTTTACCGCCGACGCGGGGGCGGGCCTGGCACTCGGCCAGCGCCGCCGCCGCCGCGGCTGCCGCGCCGCGGAGGAGGCGCGCGCCCGCGCCCGCGGCGCGAACGTGGCCGTATTGACGGCTCCAGGCGCTACTGCAGTTTTACTGCGGAGACAGCCGGCTCATTATCTGCGATGCCGACATGTCCGGGATCCGCAGAAACATTGATTTCCACTGCCGACATCCTGTGTGAGAACACGTGATAGGCATATATATATATATATATATATATATATATATATATATATATATATATATATATATATATATTTGATTAAGACCACAAATAGATGATGAACAGAGCCCGGGTCAATGGGTAACTGTGGAGCCGATTTGGAATCAGAACAAACTACAGCATCGTCCTCGTACTATGACGGGACCGTTGGCTGTGTTTCAACAGAGCGACCAATTAATTGTTCAGCCAGGTGCCGTCCAGTGACCCGACATTTGCGAGAGCAATGTGGGCTGTGGAGCACTGCACGTCCGGTGAGGATGCCGACTCGATGCCATACGTCCTAAAAAATTCCCGGACAGCTGGTGAGCGCACTGGGACGGCAGTTGTGAGTCCTGTGAGTCCTTCGCGCGCTTGAACAAAGAAATGGTGGTCGCGCGTGCTCTCACTTTTCGCGCGTATTCTTCTGCGAGCAGGAATGAAAGCGTTTAGGAGGTGATTGAACACGGGGTTAAGTATTATCCACAATAGGGCATTATGGTTCTCGGATGAGCTGCCATGGAGGTGACGCTAGGGGGAGCGTTCATGACCAGGGGCGCCTGAGCGCCTTTCTCTATCCGAAGAGCTGGAAGTGGGAACGAGAGAGCCCTGCCAAAAAGCGCACGAAACAACTACCACATTTGGCTTAGCGGAGCGGCTGCTGTGGACCGCCGAAACGGCAAACAGCTTGACGAAAACAACGTTTGGCAACTCTTGCAATCCAGGTTGGTGAACATCCATAGTTGCGAGTAAGAGGAAGGGTAATGTCATGTTTACGTCGCAACTTCGAAAAGCGCAGTTTCAACGTGCGATGGGCTGTTTGAAGGGATCGTAGGTTTTTCCATGAAAAACTGAGTTAGTACCATGAACATGTAGATTGAGTTGGCAACATCTCGATGGTAGCAGCATTGCTATTTTTCCGGGAGTGACTTCATCTGTACGTAATGGTGTTTCAAAATGCGCGGTGATGCCACCGCGTGGTTATTAAACCATGCACTCTGAAATTGATGATACAGTCAAATGGTTTATATTGCGTTCCTGGCAAAAAAAAACCTTGAAATGGGACGGCAATAGCTTTCAAGACAGCCGGTTTCACCTGCAAAGACGTCCCTAGTTAGCTACTCAATGTTTACATGCAGCTCAATCGGCGTAAAAAGCTCAAAATTTGCCTGTAGCTGAGAAGCGATCCTCCAGATCCTCGATCTACCTGTTAAAGGATGCATAAGACGGCATTCCACTTCAGGAAAGCAACCCGTATAGGTCCCCGCACCTCACCTGTCATGGCACAGGCCTGTATCGTGGCACGGAACCGGGTAAGTGGAATTATTGTGGAATTATCTCACGGACTTTGTAAAGTTCCGGATTGTCGAGATACCTAGTAGCAAGACAAAATGACTGTGGTTCGCAGTCCACTCCCTCCGTGGGTGCGACATTGCGAATATCGGCGACGTTACGTCTCTCTTCAAACCTGACCCAGTTGGCCCTGCGCAAAATCTAACAGGGTAAGGAAATGAAAGTTTTGCCATGGGCTCTGCGCAAATGTGGTGTGGATCTTGATCTGAAAATGGCCACGGTTTTGCACGCCCAAACCACCTGACCGGGCGAACCTAGCACCGATGGTAGCTGGCCGTACAATGATGGTCAGTCTCTGACCTAGCACCAATAGCCACGTGCTGAGACCTGCTGTCGCCTTCGTTCAGCAGCGCCGGGTTGGCTTTAACCCTGCCCTGGCTGACAGGGCTCCCGCCAGGATGGCCGTGAATTGGCGCATGGCTTACGGACGCAGAAAACCGCGTTGAGACAGGACGGTGCTAAGATTTGGGGTGAAGCGGTGAATGAGGAAGCGGAACAGATGAAACTCCTGTCATCGGTTATTACGGTCAACCATTGTCATCACAGGATTCGCAGCTAGTTGCAGCAGAGGACAGGAGCGTAGCCAATGCACAGTTTGTTCCCAACAAGTCGAATTTGCGGGGTTCTTCTGTGTTCTTACAGTCCTCATCGGGCAACTCATGGTAAGAAAAGAGAGCATTCAGCTCTCATTGGGCAGAAGTCCTAAGAATGATCAGCATACCCTGGATAACCCGCAGCGTGGCTGGCAGGTTCATGCACACTTCTCCGAAGCGAGATCAACGTAGCTCACAAATGGCATTGCACCAGTCGGCAAGGTAGCGGGAGGGAACCTAGCGGACGATCTTTGAACCATAGTTGTACTGGTGGCGCCACAAGTCGGAGAGCGGTGACGTCACTGGACTAGGGGGCGGTGAGACTGGTGAGTTCGCGCGGGTTTACGCACTGACTACGCACGGGAGCGTGCAATACAGTAGGGAGTGGGGTGCATGACCCACGAGTCCCATGTGGGAGGACGGGTTGAGCCCGCCCAGTTTTCTGAACATTTCCCTTTGCACTTTGTGCGTCAACTGGAAACAAAAACTAAGCAAAGATGCCCGTCAGACTACCAACATGGGAGGATTCCATTGCCGCATGTGTAGAGAAATGAGGAGAGTGAGGAGAACCTTCCTCGGCTTTCTGTTAAGGGTTCCCATGGAGCTCCCACCTTTCTTAAGATAATCCTGGCTACGCCTCTGCGCTAAGGTAGCAATGCCAGGGACGTTTTGTGCCTGCCGTTGCAGGCAAGGTGGGAATCAATGCCTTCCCTACAATATCGGGGCAAAATAATGGACTTCAATGATGGTGATGAATGAATGATGGATGACAATGATGGGTTCGGAGCAGGACCTTATGCATCAGAGTGGACGAGAAAATGCCGCAAACGACGGTCTAGTGAAGATCGACTGGCTGTCCACCTTGTCCCCACGCCACGACAAGCACGCTGGGGGCCGAGTAAATGGCCGTAATGCCGTTCGCATATTACCCGCCCGCCTAATGACCCGCCTATTACCGTGGTGGACAGCAGTCAGCCTGGTGTGGACGGGTCGGTGTGTCGGAGGTCGCCTGGCGGGTAGACAGACCCAGCACCAGCGCCAGCGCCGCGCCGCTGGCCCCAGCTCCCAGCACCCAGCGCCGCGCTGATGGCTCCAGCTCCCAGCGTCGCGCCGCTAGCTCCAGCTCCCACAACCCAGCGCCGCGCTGATGGCTCCAGCTCCCAGCGTCGCGCCACTGGCTCCAGCTCCCAGCACCCAGCGCCGAGCCGCTGGCCCCTGCTCCCAGCGTCACGCTGCTGGCCCCAGCTCCCAGCGCCGAGCCGCTGGCCCCTGCTCCCAGCGTCGCGCCGCTGGCTCCAGCTCCCAGCGTCACGCTGCTGGCCCCAGCTCCCAGCGCCGAGCCGCTGGCCCCAGCTCCCAGCGTCGCGCCGCTGGCTCTAGCTCCCAGCGCCGAGCCTTGTTAGCGCCGTCAGAGGGGCGCGCCGGTCGTTAGAGATCGGTCGACGCAGCGGCCGGCCGATCCATTACAATCGTTATCACCGGGCCGGGCGGGCGGCACGGCCGCCCCGGCAGAGCGGGGCCGGGTCACTGGACGCCGCGCCGCCGACTGACCCCCGCCCGCGGCCACCCCGCCAGCCGGCCGGCGGGGCACGCACGCCGCTCAACGAACGCCGGCATCGCAGCCCCTGCTTCGTGGGAGACCTCGGGTCGCCGA